CCTAAGATCTTCTGGGGAGGCCTTGCTCTCTATCCCGCCTGCTTCACAGGTGCGGCTGGCGGGGACGAGAGACAGGGCCTTTTCTGTGGTGGCCCCTCGGCTCTGGAACGCCCTTCCCATGGAGGTAAGATCAGCCTCCTCGCTGATGGTATTCCGAAAAAGACTAAAAACTTGGATGTTCAAGCAGGCATTTGGTTAATTCGGTGCAATGAATGTGTCGACTACGGATTGGTAATATGGATGATGCAATTGGACCACGATTTTAGTTAGGAGATGTATTGGATTGTGATTTATGTGAAATATTGTGTATTATGTTTTTTTACGGTTTTAATTGTATACTGTGTACTGTATATTCTGTTGTAAACCGCGTTGAGTCGCCAGTTAGGCTGAGAAACGGCGGTATACAAGGACAGTAAATAATAAATAAATAAATAAATAAAAAATCTGCACGCATTATTCGCTGATACATCACACAGTCCTAGACACTTGGGAAGTGTCTGACGTGTGATCCAATACAACAGCCAGCAGAGTGTCTGCTGTGGACTCATCTTGTTGTGTTTCAAATAATAATAATAATAATAATAATAATAATAATAATAATAATAATAATCACTCAGTCCTAGACACTTGGGAAGTGTTCGACTTGTGATTCTGTGATACGAAATCCAGCATATATATCTCGTTTGCTGTGACATATTGTATTTTTGTGTCAGTAAAATAATAATAATATGATATTATAATTTTATATTTATATTACATGTAATATTACTAATAATATTACAATATAATGGTATAGTACAATATAGTAATATTTAATACTGATATTGTACTATACCAATAATATAATATATTGTATGTGTATATATATTGTAAGCTGCTCTGGGTCCCCTTCAGGGTGAGAAGGGCAGCATATAAATGTCATAAATAAATAAATACATTCATCTCCCATCCTTACTTTTTCAGATTACAACATCCAAATCCATCACACCACCATCCTAAACAAAGAGAGGCATGTGTTGGTCTTATTCTGTGCTACAGCCCTTTAGATATTTGCAGAGACTGATGTACGGAAGTCACCTTTCGTGGACTACAGCTCCCAGAACGGAGCCATGCAGGTAAGGAGATCTGGACGTTATAATCCCCAGAAGAACATTCCCCACATTTTTGCTGATGCAGCAGCCTGGAAACGCTTGCCTCTTTGGCTTTGTCATGACGAAGCACAAAGACTAAAGTGCAACAGCTTGGTTTTATAACTTGTGAGTGCAATACGACAATTTATAACTAGTTTGATAAGACATCACCTGCAATCCAAGGTCCTTTTACCACCTCGTTCCACATAAACGAATCCTTCTCTCTAGGAAATGAAAAACTGAAGCAGGGGGTGGGGATATTTCTTGATGCCACTAAGCAAGACAGGTAGGAAGGGAACCCCAGATCTTCCTTCCACAAGTCTGATGCCCGTTCCAGCATAAATCCAATGTCTAGTCCCTTTCCATTTTTAAATCACAAAAACACAGCAGCCCAAGACCCGACAAATTCAAATGGTAAGACCATAACCCTTCATCCAAGGGGGAGGCAAATAAATAAAGACCTGAAGTGGCATTGGGGAACCAATTTCCCAATGAACACACAAATGGAGAGGTTCAGAAGCAGCTTGACCTAGAGAAAATCCCAAAAGACAGACCCCTTCTTACATAAAAGGATTTTTTCCCCCTGTGTCAGGAGTGTCTTGAAAAACTGCAAGTTGCTTCTGGCATGAGAGTATTGGCCGTCTGCAAGGATGTTGCCCAGAGGATGCCCAGATGTTTTGATGTTTTACCATCCTTGAGGGAGGCTTCTCTCATGTCCCTGCATGAGGAGCTGGAGCTGACAGAGGGAGCACACCTGCGCTCTCCCCGGATTCAAACCTCTGACTTGTCAGTTTTCAGTCCTGCCAACACAAGGGTTTAACCCATTGCGCCACGGGGAGGGGGGGGGGCTACACAAAGGATGAGATGTGGGGAAAAGAAAAACAGGAATGGGACAGGCAGAAAGGAAAGAGAGAAGGACAGAGCAAGGAAGGCTGGAAGAAGCTGTCATTTGACAGGTGCATTTAATTTAAATTTTAAAGTATTTAAATCCTATTTATAAATAAAGAGCATCCCTTGAAGTCATCCTCCAAAACTGCATTTAAAGTTCTGAAATGATATTTGGCTAGGACCAAAAAGACACAAGGAGGCAATACCGTAAATAAAATATGTCAGGCCCAATGAATACCATGCAACATAAACAATAATGATTCCTGCTTCTAAGTCCTTTCTTTCCCCCATCATCTCTTTCTTTTTCCTATCGAAACAGAGTAGAGCACTATTCTGACTAATGAATTAAGCTTCATGTTTGTCATTGTTGATCTTCTTCCTCATTTCCTGATTTGCTCTTTGATAAAACAAAATATGATAAATGTTTTTTTTTTAGAAAAACAAGAAAAAAACACTTTATCTTGCTCTCTTTCTGGCAGCAAGTATGGAAAAAATGATAATGTCAAAAAAATGAATAATATAAGAAATTTTGAGACTGTATGCTGGAGCGCAGAAAATGTTATACATCTTTTTCTATGTTCTTCTCCCAGAGATCTTCCTTTTTTGGGGTAAAGAAGAGGACAGTTTGAGACGTAAATGCCAACACAGATATGTTTGTGTATTTTTGGCAACCAACATGGCATGTCAACAAAGGGCCTTTAATCCTTGATGACAATTTGCCTTCACGTTTCGAAACTGGTCCTTGCTCAGAGACACACTCAAGCAGCGGTTGGTGGATTCAAACCCCCTTTTTACCACTTAAGCTGATTAAAATCCATGACACAAAATGCAGAGTACACCTGTTTGGGATGTGCATGTGCTTCTGGGAATGATATCCTAAGGAAGGCTGTACAGGTTTCAAAGAGAGATCAAAGAGAGATCCAGAGAGCAATTTGTGCTTACAAATGTCCTCTTTTGTGCTCTATCTATCCAGGTGCCCCTCTCCTGGACCTACCCATCTGGTGCCCTCCTTTTGGTCTACTAAGGTACTTCACTAGGTATTTCACCAACCACATGCCTCTCTCCTGGCCTTACACAGGTGAGTCTCCAACCAAATGCCCCTTTCTTGGTCTACCAAGGTACTTCACTAGGTATTTCACCAACCACATGCCTCTGTTCTGGCCTCACACAGGTGAATCTCCAACAAAATGCCCCCTTCTTGGTCTACCAAAGTATTTCACTAACCACATGTCTCTCTCCTGGCTTTACACAGGTGAATTGGCAACCAAATGCCCTTTTCTTGGTCTACCAAGGTACTTCACCAGGTATTTCACCAACCACATGCCTCTCTCCTGGCCTTACACAGGTGAATTGGCAACCAAATGCCCTTTTCTTGGTATACCAAGGTACTTCAGCAGGTTTTTCCCCAACCAAATGCCTCTCTCCTGGCCTTACACAGGTGAATTGGGAACCAAATGCCCTTTTCTTGGTCTACCAAGGTACTTCACCAGGTATTTCACCAACCACATGCCTCTCTCCTGGCCTTACACAGGTGATTTGGCAACAAAATGCCCTTTTCTTGGTCTACCAAGGTACTTCACCAACTATTTCACCAACCACATGCCTCTCTCCTGGACTTATACAGGTGAATCCCCAACCAAATGCCCCTTTCTTGGTCTACTAAGAACCTTCGCTAGGTATTTTACCAATGACATGCTTCTCTTCTGGCCTTATATAAATTGATTGTCAAGCAAATGCCTCTTTCTTTACTTTACCCAGGTGAATCACCCACTGGATGACTTCTTTCCTGGCCTTTCCCAGGTAACCCACCAATCTTGTGCCACTCTGTAGGCACTCCATCAATCAGATGCTCTTCTTCTAGCTTATGTAGGTGAACCATCGAACTGATGCTTTTCTCCTGGTACTCCACTAACCAAATGACCTTTGCCTTGCCTAACTCAGGTGAACTAACCTTCTCGCAGCCTAACCAGATACCTCACTTACAAGATGCTCCATTTCTGACCTTTCTCAAGTAAAATATCAACTGGGAGCTCTTTTGCTGGATTGCCAACCTGGTTCTCCACTAACCACTGCTTCCATCAACCAGATACAAAGCTCACATTCTATGCAGGTGAACCACCATTGTGGTGACCTTCTCCTGGCCTACATAGATGGATGACTAACTTGATGGCCTTCTCCATTGGAGGTCTAGGAATCAGGAAGGGACTATTGCAGGCATGGACAAACTTTGGCCCTCCAGGTGTTTTGGACTACAACTCCCACAATTCCTAACAGCCTACTGGCTGTTAGGAATTGTGGGAGTTGTAGTCCAAAACACCTGGAGGGCCAAAGTTTGCCCATGCCTGGGATACAGGTTGAGTATCCTTTATCCAGAAATCCAAAACACCCCAAATATGATGCCAATGATTGGCTGAGGCAGTGGCACCTGCTTCCTGATGGATACAATTGAGCTACATGTATATAGCATTGATGAAACATAAAATATACATCCAGAGTAGAATTGGGGACCTTCTCCAAGAGGCATGTCCTAATATATTACAAAATCCCCCCACCCGCACTCTTCCAATCCCAAGAATATTATATTGGACAAGGGAGACTCAAAAAACGAGGTGTCCCAATGGGAATGATGATTGAGAAGAGACAGAAGGGGATATAGGGCCAATAGAAAAATCAATTAATAGCAGGGTTAATTAATAAGCTTCCACACCACCCCTCCATTTTCCAAAATAGGAAGAAAAGCACATATAAAAGGAAATTGGGGAGAAGGGAGGGGTTAAAATTGGACTGGGATAGAATACAAAATGGAATAAATGAAGACGACTGAGAATAATAACAGCCAGAGCCAGGGAATAGAAAATTGGGGTTTCTAGGAAAGGATGCAGTTGATCCTTAAATGAGAAACTATTCAGCTTCTCCAATACTATTTCTTTTTCTTTCCCAGTGATGGAGGAAAGGGAAGGGGCCCCGTCGCTTTCGACTCACCGGGTCCAAGCAACCTCCGTCCGCCTCGCTCTCCTTCGCCCGCCTTGTCAGAGTCCCCACCGCGGGCGACGCTAGTTGGGGCTCCGAACGCGCCGTAGCCAATCAGAGGGCCGCTCTCGCCGCTCCGCTACGGCGCCGGCCAATCGGAGTGAGCCGGGAGGACACACCCCCTTCTCGCCCAAAGGAGGCGAGCCAGGGAGGGAGGGGGCTGCAGAGAGGAGGAGAAGCTTCATTTTTCAACAATAAAGGGGAATTCTTATTGCAACATCTCGTCCATTCCCAATATATATAACAGCTAATAATACCTGGGGGATGATTTGAAGGCCAAGAAAATAATAATAATAATAATAATAATAATAATAATAATAATAATAATAATAATAATAATAATAATAATAATAATTTATATCTTCTAAAGAGTGATGATTTGAAGGCCAAGTATACAACAATAATTATAATTATTATTTTATATCCCACTTTCCTCTTCTAAAGGGTGATGATTTGAAGGCCAAGCTAATAATAATAACAGCAATAATAATATTTATATCCCACTTTCCTCTCCTAAAGGGTGATGATTTGAAAGCCAAGCTAATAATAATAATAATAATAATTATTATTATTATTATTATTATTATTATTATTATTATTATTTATATCCCACTTTCCTCTCCTAAAATGTGATGATTTGAAGGCCAAGCATATTATTATCATTATTATTATTATCATCATCATCATCATCATCATCATTATCATCTTTATTTATATCCCACTTTCCTCTCCTAAAGGGTGATGATTTGAAGGCCAAGCTAATAATAATAACAATAATAACAACAATAATATTTATATCCCACTTTCCTCTTCTAAACAGTGACAATTCAAAGGCCAAGCTAATAATAATAATAATAATAATAATAATAATAATAACTCACTTTCCTCTCCTAAAGGGTGATTATTTGAAAGCCAAGCTAATAATAATAATAATAATAATAATTATTATTATTATTATTATTATTATTAGCTTTTATAATATAGCTATTATTATTATTTATATCCCACTTTCCTCTCCTAAAAGGTGATGATTTGAAGGCCAAGCATATTATTATTATCATCATCATCATCATCATCATTATCATCTTTATTTATATCCCACTTTCCTCTCCTAAAGGGTGATGATTTGAAGGCCAAGCTAATAATAATAACAATAATAACAATAATATTTATATCCCACTTTCCTCTTCTAAACGGTGACAATTCAAAGGCCAAGCTAATAATAATAATAATAATAATAACAACAACAACTCACTTTCCTCTCCTAAAGGGTGATTATTTGAAAGCCAAGCTAATAATAATAATAATAATAATAATAATAATAATAATAATAAATAATTTATATCCCACTTTTGTCTCCTAAAAGGTGATGATTTGAAGGCCAAGCATCATATTATTATTATTATTATTATTATTATTATTATTATTATTATTATCTTTATTTATATACCACTTTCCTCTCCTAAAGGGTGATGTTTTGAAGGCCAAGCTAAAGATGATGATGATGATGCAGTTCCTAAAGACCCTGGCCTGCACTTAAACACAATCGGCGCTGACAAAATTATCATATGTCAGCGACAAAAGGCCACCCCACTAGGATCTGCACGCATTATTTGCCAATACATCACACAGTCCTAGACACTTGGGAAGTGTCTGAGGTGTGAACCAATACAACAGCCAGCAGAGTGATCTTGTTCACTGTGTACTAATCTTGTTGTGTTTCAAATAATAATACTCTGGGACTTCCAAATTCAGACTGACAAGAGTTTTGGAGCGCAATATTCCTGACTTCATGATCATGGAAAGTATGGATCGTCAATGTTGCAATCCCAGGCGACAGCAGGATTGAAGAGGAACAACTGGAAAAGATGACACCATATGAGGAATTAAAGATCAAATGCAAAGACTCTGGCACAAGCCAGTAAAGGTGGTTCCAGTGGTGATCGGCACATTGGGTGCAGAGCCTAAAGATCCTAGCCAGCACTTAAAAACAATCGGTGCTGACAAAATCACCATCTGTCAGCTGCAAAAGGCGACCCTCCATCGATCTGCTCGCATTATTTGCCAATACATCACAGTCCTAGACCCTTGAGAAGTGTCTGACGTGTGATCCAATAAAAAAGCCAGCATAGTGATCTTGTTTGTGGGGTACTAATCTTGTTACCAAATAATAATAATAATCTCACTTTCCTCTCCTAAAAGGAGACTCAAGTAATGTTGCAATAATGATTGTATCAGAATATCTATCTTTCTATACATACACACACATTCCCTTTAACAACTAATGACAGTTAGGATGATAATTTGAAGGCCAAGCATATTATTATTATTATTATTATTATTATTATTATTATTATTAATATTATCATCCCACTTTCCTTTCCAAAAAGACTCAATGAATGTTGTAAAAACAATGTCATTTGAATATCTATCTATACACACACATTCCCTTAACAGTCAATGACAGGGTGATAATTTGAATGCCATACTACTACTACTACTAATAATAATAATTTATTTAAATAATAATAATATAAACAAATTATTATTATTATTATTATTATTATTATTATTATTATTATCCTGCCCTATCTCCCCAAGGGGACTCATATATAAATTTAATAATAACCCATAGTGTTGCCAAGTTCTGTGCAGCAGCAATTAACATTAGACGGATGATGACTGACTCCGCTAAGCAACTTCCAGCTGGGAATACAGCTAGAGTAATTTGTAATAACTGAAATGCTGTAAATGTTCCCCTCTCTTCCATCTTTAGAGCCTCCCAGTGGTTTGATATTTCTATTAGATGCCCCCCCCCCACCTTTTAGATTCATACCTGCACTTTAAACTGTAAGTTTAGTTTGTTTTTTAATCTGTCTCTTTTATAACATGTTTTTAATCTGCTTTTTATCTGACCTACTTGGGAATTGTGATTCCCTTCCTTGGGCACCTGGGCCCCATTCTATATTGTGCTGGTCATTGTTGTTGTTCATTCGTTCAGTCGTCTCTGACTCTTCGTGACCTCATGGACCAGCCCACGCCAGAGCTCCCTGTTGGCCATCACCACCCCCAGTTCCTTCAAGGTCAGTCCAGTCACTTCAAGTCACTTCTGGTCATAGACCGTAATAAATCATTGATTGATATAAATTTAATAATAATTTATGTCCCACTTTCCTCTCTTAAGGTAGACTTAATGGATGTTGTAATAACGATTTCATCAGAGTTTCTATCTATCTATCCACACACACATTTTAACAGCTAATAATAACTAGGGTGAGGATTGGAAAGCCAAGTAAATAATAATGATTATCATCATCATCACATTTCTACGGAAGAAAGAATGCTGTAATAAAGTTTTTGAATTTAATTTTTCCAATTCCAAATTACAATCAGTCGCATATTGAACTTCTACGGGCGCATCCACACGGCAGAATGAATGCAGTTTGACACCACACTGAACTGCCATGGCTGAAGGATGTGGAATCCTGGGATTTGTAGTTTGGAGAGGCCCCAACACTCTTTGGCAGAGAATGCTGAAGACCTTGTAAAACTACCACTCCTAGGATCCTATAGCATTGAGCCATGGCAGTTAAAGGGGTGTCAAACTGCAGTACTTCAACAGTGTAGATGCATCCAACGCCTCATTTATTAAGGTTGCAAGTACTTCTGAGAAAACAGGCCATGATGTTGTTATTTTGTTCTAATTGAAGCAAATCTTGCATGCTTGGGCATTTCTCTTCATTGCAATGCTAGGATGACAGAATGACCACGGTTTATGACAGGTGGAACCTCGTTTCTAAGCCACAACTGAACGATAAAGAACTTGGCCAGAGAAAAAACAGACAGGGTCAGAGTGTCCCCAGGTCACCCTTCCAGTTTCCTTCTTAACCGGGTTTTGCAATGAGCATCATTGAGAAATCCAGGACAGAGCTAAAAAAGTCTCTATTTCTCTCTCTCTCTATGATATTCAATGTCTTCTCAATATTGTCTCCATATGCAAACATTGGTGGAATATTGAAGGCCTTTGTCAATATTTGTTATCTGTCTCTTGACGTTCGATGGTATTTCATAAGTAGCGATACCATTGGTTGAGAGTTTGGAAAAGCTTGGCATTTCACACCTGCCAGAACAAATGCCCCCCAACTCTGGAGCATTCCAGTTGGAAAGGAAAAGCTCAATTGCAAACCTGGAAATAGAATCTCTGCAAACTAAATGTGTCTGGTTGAAAGCAAAAGTTTGGGATTTCAGGCTAATGAGAAAGTATGGTGTCCGCTTCTAACCAAGATGTTTATGGGCATTTTCTCATTTCTCTTCCATTGAAAAGTCCTAAAAGATCCAGGGAAAAGAATCACTCCTATTAAATTTATTTATTTATCGTGTCAGTATCAACCAGACAATTGTATTACACTTTTAACAAATTTTTAACAAACAGACAAAACAGAGTTTGCAAGGTTGGTAGTTGATTAAATGTCCTTTGACCAGTAGCTGGCCATTTGGGAGTGCCTCTGGTGTTGCCGCAAGGAGGTCCTCCATTGTGCATGTGGCGGGGCTCAGGTTGCATTGCAGCAGGTGGTCTGTGGTTTGCTCTTCTCCACACTTGCATATCGTGGATTCCACTTTGTGGCCCCATTTCTTGAGGTTGGCTCTGCATCTCGTGGTGCCAGAGCGCAGTCTGTTCAGCGCCTTCCAAGTCGCCCAGTCTTCTGTGTGCCCAGGGGGGAGTCTCTCATTTGGTATCAGCCATTGATTGAGGTTCTGGGTTTGAGCCTGCCACTTTTGGACTCTTGCTTGCTGAGGTGTTCCAGCGAGTGTCTCTGTAGATCTAAGAAAACTATGTCTTGATTTAAGTCGTTGACGTGCTGGCTGATTCCCAAACAGGGGATGGGCTGGAGATGTCTCTGCCTTGGTCCTTTCACTCTTGGCTGCTACTTCCCGGCGGATGTCAGGTGGTGCAATACTGGCTAAGCAGTGTAATTTCTCCAGTGGTGTAGGGCGCAGACACCCCGTGATAATGCGGCATGTCTCATTAAGAGCCACATCCACTGTTTTAG